TGGATGGATGGATGGATGGATGGTAAGATGGACAGTTTTAGCAGTGCTGCCTTGCCTGCAGGTGGTGGTTAGAGGGTCTGGTCTCTGTCAGTGTGCCTCAGGGCAGCTGTGGCTACATCGTAGCTTACCACCATCAGTGTGTGAATGATGAGTGATTGAAGTGAAGTGCTTTGGAGTCCYTAGGGACTGCTATATAAACTCAAACCCTTTACCATTTACCAATTTCATCTGGAACAGAAGAAAAAACTTTAATTTGTCAGCTAGACATTTTCATCGATGTGAAGTTATGAATAAATGAAAAACAGGAAGGATTTTTGATGTTCAGAATGGAGTTTACAAAAATGAGCCCTTTGAAAGGTCTGATTMTTCCTTAAATAATGCCGCGTCTGAGAGGAGATTAAAACTTCAGCTCYCCTATGTTCTCTTTAAATTATCCTGAGATGTTCAACATCACAGGATAATTAGAATAAAGCCTGAATCCGGCTGCGACCCTCTCGTGAATAATCAGAATATTTAACAGCCCACCTTCAGTTCAGCCCCGTGACTTGGTAAAAGCTCAGACTGGAGATAATTAAAAAGACGTTCTGATAGAATTCACAGGTGGTTTAATGGATGGGGGGGTTTGTTGACCAGGTGTGAGCAGGACTGAGGTAAGAAGGTGTGTGTTTGGTGGGTTACCGGTCCCAAATGTTGCAGCTGAGTGTTTCTAATGCCTCCTCATCTGCATACTGTGGTTTGGGTTTTGCATATATGTTTTTACATCAGGCTACATAAATGTTTTGTGTCAAGCTGTCTCACTGCGACATTTACAGCCATAGGTTCTTCTCCAGATGTTCAGTCGCTCCCACACATATCTCTTTTCCTCTCTCCTCCCCCCCACAGTGTATGTTCTAACCCGAGGGCAGATACGGCATCTCGTTATGGTAATTGTAGTCCGGGCAAACTTTCTGCACCAGGCGGTAGTCCGTACTGTAGAAGGAAATGTAGATGCAGATGACTTTGAACGGTTTGGAGCAAATCCAGGACACGTGGCTCTGGATCTGCTCCTGAAAGCAGGTCTTGGATGGATCGTAGTTGCACAACGAGGTGCGCTTGCTCCGATCCACCTTCTCGTAGTCCACGCGGCAGTTGAAGATCTTGGAGTCCTTGGGGTAGACCACGCTCTGGCGCTCCAGGTCGAACTCCACCGCCTTGACGGGCGGGACCAGGCTGACCGAGATGTTGCCCTGGCCCGTGGAGTTGTGTCGAAAGTAGACGCTGAAGGTGCCGTTCCCGTGATCCACGATCTTCCCGGTGATCAGCAGGTTGAGCCGCACCGTTTTGATGTTGGAGTAGAAGTCTCCCCAGCCGAACATCTTCTTGAACTTGCCGGTCTTGACGATCGGCCGGCGTTTGACCCGGGAGCTGGAGGTGTCCGGCTTAAGCAGGTCGCTGCCTAGCATCTCCCAGAACTCCTGTTTGGAAAACTCCTGCTTGGCGAACGGGACCGGAGAGCGGTAGGGCAGCTCCAGCGAGGTGGTGTTCGCCGCTCGGCTTTTACTGTGCTGCATCCAGCGGCTCAGGGGCGAGAGGGACGCCTGCCCGCTCAGGAGGCCCACCGTCTTGGAGGAGGAGTCCGAGGAGCTCCTGGAGCTGGAGGAGTCGTCTTCTTGACCCATCACCACCTGGAGGTCATTGGTGCAGGAGGAAGAGGAGGAGGGGGGGGTGGAGTAAAGAAAGAAGGTATTATTAGCAAGTTTGAAAGAAACATGCACAGAAAGAAAACAAATTAAACATTTAATCGATATTTAATTTACTCCTCGCACCTCTGGTGATGTTTACTGTGACATTCGATCATTTATACACATTCAGAAATGGCAGAAATTTAACAGGTGTTACWATTATTACACTCCTCTGTTTACCTCAACTGTAAGATGAGAATAAAAAAAGAAAGAGCCGATGTAATTCCCTGAGCTCAGCGAGCTGCTGCTGGGGCCAGAGGGATCAAAGAACACCTCTCACAGAAAATCTGCGCTAAAACTGAATTCACATGGAGTGTATTACTCCTGTGGTCCTGCTCGCTTTAATCAATATTTGTAGAAGTGGACAATTTTCTTCAAAGGCTGTAAAACAATAAAGCTCCATCATTACAAAAAGGCTCTCTAAAGTTGTTTCTCTGACAGCAAAGGTCAGAGGTTGATTRGTGCACTTGAAGGGTGGAAACAACAAGCATCTCCATTCCCAACGTAGTCTTTCTTTATTCGCACGCTTTCATTCGCTGCGGCTGCAGGAAAAGAGTCAAACATTAGTGCAAAAATAATTAAAAGCCTTGCTGAAGAGATGCATGTCGCCCGCTGACGTTCATGCTTGTGATGCAAAATGAAATCTTGTGATTCTGTCAAAAACAAATATAAGCTCAATAAAAAGGCAACTCTAACACTTAATGCTAAAAAGTTCAGTTTCAGCTGCTTCCAGACCTGGTTTTACCTCATTATTATGACCCGGGGAGTCTGTTTTCGTACAGTTTTTTTTTCTTAGATGTTTGGTCAACCGTATCACGTTACGGCTGCATAGATGTGTCCGATCTACGCTGAGTCAGCCAACAGTTTTACAATAGACCAGGGGTGCCCAAACATTTTCCCCAAGGGGGCCAAAAATGAAAATATATCCATGGCTGCGGGCCAAATGCAGTTATATAATACATGAAATACAAATATTTTTTAAAGTAAAGTCCTTTATTTTTAACGATTAAGCTATGCTATGGCCCTCTTTTGT